CCTGGACCTCCAGGTTACAGGGGGATGTATTCTTTGAAGGTCTAGCAGATTGTGGGGTGCAATGAAGGCAAGGGGGGTCTACATTCTGGGCAACACACCCTCTACTGGCTTGTGCTGTAAGCGGCAGCCTCTCTCGCTGCAGTGGCCTTCTTTGCCAAGTGCACGCTGCTAATCGGGTTGTATGGTAGAAGCTGGGAGGCTCACCAGGGAATTCTGGGAGTTGGAAGCCCACACATCTTAAAGTGGCCAAGATTGAGAAATGTTGCCTTATAGTATAAAGAAACATACTGTTTGAAAAATTGTCTTCAACAAAAGGAAAAATCTTAAATCTCTGCATATGCTCTCTGAGCAACCCGGGTTTTGCAAGCATCTGCAAAAGGATTGGTTGCATCTCTGCTCTAAATTTTGAAGCAAGCACAGGACAGAAAGGGTGCATTGCTTGAGCGACAACGGAAGAGCAGCCCTTTGAGTTAGTGTCCCAGCCCCAAAGCCTTTTCGTGTTGCTCCGTTCCGTTTTCTGGCAACTGCATGCCTGGTTTTCTTTTGCAGACCTTTCCACAGTGACACCCATCAATGACCTCCACGGCACTGACTCTGTGTCCCTGGCCAAAGGGGAGAGGCTTATGCGCTGCAAAGTTAGCAGTGTCTATCGGCTGCTGGACCTTTATGGCTGGGCACAGCTCAGTGGCACCACAGTCACGGTGAGTCATCCCATCCTCCTCTCTCCTGGCCGGCCTTCGTTATAGGTTGAAATAAAACTGGTTTTCTTTCAGTATTTTTTTAATGAGATAGAACTTTGGGCTTGAAGCAAGCAATTATCTTTTAGAATCTTCATTCGTTCTGCAGTATGCGAATTGAATGAATGAATTTCTTGGAATAACCAGTTCCTGGAAGTTCTGGGGATTAATGGCTTTTAGCCTTGAGGGCAGGGGAGCTGCCCCCAGAGGCTGTCTGCTGGGAGATCGGTGGGCTTCCTTTGGCAGCTGGTTGGTCATTGTGAGAACTGCTGGACAAAATGGTCCAGGGGTCCCATCCAGCAGGGCGCTGCTTATGCTCTTAACCTTCCTTCCTTTCACAGCTGAGAGTCAGCAAAGAACAGGAACATTTTCTGGTTTGTCCCGAAGGCCTTTCCTGTCATGAAGTTACAGCATCCAGCTTGGTGAGAATGCAGGACTCTCGGGTCCGGCTCTGTGCCCGCGACTGCAGACGGGAGCTGTATTTTCCTGCTTACAGCAGTCTGTAAGAGCAGCCTGTGTAGAATGAAGCTACTCATATGAAACAGAAGGACAGGGTGACAAAATCCCCTCTAGAATTTCACGGACAGGCTGCCCTTTGGATGACGGGTGCACAGTCATACAATTTGTGACACCGTTTTTTTATCAGTTGTATTTGTTGTTGTTCAGTCGCTAAATCATATCCGACTCTTCAAACCCCATCGACCACAGCATGCCAGACTTCCCTGTCCTGCACTGTCTCCTGGAGTTTGCCCAAATCCATGTTTATATTTTTTTTCTTTCTTTCTTTCTTTCTTTCTTTCTTTCTTTCTTTCTTTCTTTCTTTCTTTCTTTCTTTCTTTCTTTCTTTCTTTCTTTCTTTCTATCTATCTATCTCTATCTATCTATCTATCTATCTATCTATCTATCTATCTATCTATCTATCTATCTATCTATCTATCTATCTATCTCCAGGAGACAGAATGTATATACAAATATGTATGTATGTACGTATGTATGTATGTTTATATGCGCCATATGCATCGCCTCTGCCAATCCTGGGAATTGGGTGGGGTATAACAAACTTAAAATATAAAATACGGTGAACATAATTGAAAGAGAATTGCCTATTGAGACAAGGAGAGGCGGCATCTTCCTACAGAGGAGCCATGAGGAGGATGCCTAAGGGGACAATTTTCTGCAACTGCATCTCTGTAACTGGAGGGAGCAGGCAGACCCAGAGGGGCAGGGATAGCCTCTGCTGAAGTGGAGGAACTCTGGTTTCCATGGAGACATGCTGGGTACACCAAAGAATATTGAAGCCAGCAAGCCCGGAGGAGTGGCAGATGCAGAGAGGCCATAGGCTGGTTTTTCTGTAAGCTTGAGAAGAGTTTAGGATCCCAGGGTCTTCCGCCCACTTTAGGCATCACTGCTTCCCTTCCCCGCTGCCTGAAAAAAGCTTCCCTGGAGACGTCGCCTTAGTCAGCCAAGGCAGGTGCCCATCTTCTCATCGGACGCCCCCCACCCTCCTCTTTTTCCTTCTCAGATTAAAGTGAACATCCTGGGGAAGGTGGTGGAGCAAGGCAGCAGCAGCTTTCTGGTGGACACCCAAGGATTCAGCCTGCACTCGGCCATCTATGCGGCTCGGCCTGATGTGAGATGCATCATCCATCTGCACACACCAGCCACAACTGCAGTAAGGGCGGGGGGGGGGGGAACAGGTGTCCATCTTTCTAGCAGAATGCTGAGACACAACAGAGCTTCAGGTGGATGGATGGAAGAGGCAGGCATCTCCTCGGAGATGACCCCGTTATCCCATTTCCATTCACCTCTGGACTCCTCCAGCCCTCTGGATGCAACTCTCACAGTTGTTGGACGGGTCGCGGATTGGGTCACACTGCAGGTCTGTTTTGTTTGGGCTGAGTGTGTTATGATAGTCAGCAAAGGCTAAACAAACCAGAAGTAATTCAGTGTGTGAGCCTAGATTTTGATGTCCTCCCAGAGCTGGCCTGGAAGTCCTTTGCATAGGGTGCCCTGCACAGCCCAAAGGAAAAGAAGTAATAGGAGCACCTGTGAAGTCACCAAGCCGTGAACCTGGAAGGGAAACAGGCTGAAAATCCAGGAGGGAGGAGAAGTACTCCGGGAAGGAGCCGTCCACAGTGGGACATTGAGGGGAACTGAAGGCACCTTGTTCTTGCTCTCCTTCCCACATGAAGCGGCTGTGGTGTGCCTATGGAGGGGGGTGTCCTTCACTGGCCCATCTCTGTAGGGCAGCTTTCCTTAGTTAGCCACACTCCAGGCATGGAAGGTTCACAACTCTAAGTCAGTTTGGTCAACGGTTCTGTTTGCATCTTGCAGGGTATTATAAAGTGAAAAAAGGAGGACAGTTTCATTCTAGAAAGTTTCCTGTTTGAACTGGAAAGGCATGGAGAGCACGGAGAGAGTCTTTTATGCATAGCTGGAACATGGAGAGCTTTGCTTTCCTTCCTTCGCAGGTCTCCGCAATGAAACAAGGCCTCTTGCCAATTTCCCACGATGCACTGCTGGCAGGTGACATGGTGTATTTTGACTTCAATGGTGAAATGGAGGGAGAGGCAGACAGAATTGAGTTGCAGAAATGTCTTGGACCCACCTGCAAGGTTAGGCCTGAGAGGTGTGGGTTGAGTTCTGATGTACTCTTGGATTCCAACTAAATCTCTGCCCAAACTGGCCTGTGGGATTTATACTTCCTTGCATGAGAACGTAAGAGCGGTTCAGAATCGAGGAGAACTCATGGGGTGGGGGGCAGATAAAGATTTCATATTCTTTAGCTGTTTATATCAGAACCTGTTTCTTGCCGTTTCTTTGGGCAGGTTTTGGTGCTCCGGAATCACGGCCTGGTGACCCTGGGAGACACAGTGGAGGAAGCGTTCTACAAGGTCTTCCATTTGCAGGCTGCCTGTGAAGTCCAGGTGAGCTCCAGAACAACAAAACAAGGCACACGCCTCCTGCCTTGCGCTGCATCACAGGCCAGGTTCCTTCTGTAGAAGTGGGCAGAAGGAAATGTTCCTAAGTGGAAATGACATAATTCCATTCAGATGGAGATGCCAGCAAAAATAATATTCCTTAGTGGAATTTTCTTCCTGTCTCCCTTCTCCTTAGGATGTAGAAACACAATAATGACCACTTGCTTGGAGGGAGGGGGGGAATAGATGAGTGTCAATTAGTTGAGGGAAAGATTTTCCTAACATGCTATTTTGGGTGACATTCCCATCTTGATGGTAACTTTCAACTGCCCCAGATTCAAGTCTCCTTGCCCAAGTGTGGATTTCCCCTGTCATAAATGACAAGATTGTCCTTCCTTCCTTCCTTCCTTCCTTCCTTCCTTCCTTCCTTCCTTCCTTCCTTCCTTCTTCCCTTCCCTTCCCTTCCCTTCCCTTCCCTTCCTTCTCAATGCTGCCTGGACGTTCCATGCCAACATGCTTACTAACATTCTGGTTGACCTAGACTGGGCAGCTCAGAAGCCCCTTCCAGAAAACCCTTCCTGGGAGTTTGATTTGCTCGGCTAGAATGTAATCGTGCAAACCCATCACCTTAACTTCTCTGCATTTTGCAAGAATATATTTCATTTCATAATTATAAAATAATGCAGAAAGCGGTCTGTTTTTCTTGATGAAAAAGTGTTTTAAAGCAGGCACATGACTTGGAGCAGAAGCCCTTATTTGCTTATGGAAAATGACCTCCAATGTTGCCACTGACCAAAAGGGGTTTTGAAGCATGACCGGAGCCTGCAAGCCACGGCTGGGGATGTCAGGAGGCGATGCACAGAAAGCGAGGCTTGTTCAGACGGCCTTCTACGCTCTGCTCCACTTGGTAATCTCAGGGGCCCCCCGCTGTTTCCTCCTGCCTTCTCAACTTCTCTTTTGCCCTCTGCCTCCTCCAGGTTGCTGCCTTGTCTAGTGCTGGTGGGCCTGAGCATCTCATCCTCTTGGAGGCGGAGAAACAGAGGCCTCACGATGTGGGTCTGGTCCGATGGGCTGGCAGCACCTTTGGGCCCATGCAGAAGAGCCGCTTGGGAGAGCATGAATTTGAAGCACTAATGAGGATGCTGGACAATCTAGTATGTTGGCAAGCAGAGAAGCTCCCCCCAATACGTCCCCTGACCTTGTCATAAAGGTGGCATTCCTCCAGGTAGATATTTGTAAACCAAAGTGGGTCTCTGCAGGGAAAGAGGCAAGCTTGGACAGGTGGGTTTCGCAATGCTCCTGCTGGCCCACCAGACATGGGCTACTTAAAAAAAAAAGATCTGACATCTGAACCGTTGAGGGACCACATTAAACCCACAATCTCCCCACAAAACACCCTTGGTAGATTATTGCTGTGTTCACTTCAGGTCTCCATGCCGTTTTCCAGAGCCCAGCCTACCCCACCCTCAATCCTTTTTCTTCTCAGTAGCGTTTTAACAATTGAAAGAGTTTTGCAAGGCAAAATTGATACAAGTAGTCCTCATTCAGTGGCTTTAATTTGGGACCTGCAACTCTTATTAAACAAACAGTTGCTAACTAGAAAATCACATTCCTAAAAGTGTGCTCTCCTCCCCCCCCCCCCCCCCCCCCCCCCCCCCCCCC